ATTGCTTACATCTCATCTAACGTTTAAAGCGACATATCAATGCCTGCAACCATTATGTTTTATACGAACCTCGCAAACTTTTAAACACGTTCTCTTGTGATACCTGCGAAAGTATTCAGTATAATTTCCGGTAAGATTTCGCGGACAATCTGATCGATTTCTCTTACATTGTGTGCTGAGACTGAAACTTTTCACCTCGGGCAAAGCTTCGTCGCACGGCCCAAACAAACATGGCGAGCAACTGAGCTTGTAGTAGATGTGCGTGTTAAAACACACGAAAGGACTCCAAAGAACACTTCACTCTGATTGGGCAGAAAAACACAAAGATTTTCTGGCACCAATCAGATGCCAGAACGAGTGCGACCGTTTGGAACTAGTCTTGTAAGACAATGTCCCCAGGGGCTCTTTTGCCCTTATCTTGAAATCGACTCACAGCCCCTGGGTCTCCGAGGATGAGGGTAACCACGTTTCTCGAACAACTGGCACATTGACTCTGATTTGTGGTGGAAATCAGAGTCATCCCTACATAAACGACGAAGTCTTAGAAACTGAGAAAAAGGAATGGAATTCTCAACGTGAGATGGATGCGAAGACGTATATAACAAGTAATTATGCGAGTCTGTAGGTTTGTAATACACACTAGTGCATAAACCGTTACCTTCAATTGAAACTTTGAATAGTGAATAAGTCTGCTCAGGCAAGAGATTTTTTTCAAACTGTCAACGCTTGCAAGCTAACAGTGATTGAAAAATGTTTTTCCGAAAAAAGATGCACACAGATGAAGGCCATCATCTCTTTTATATTCATATGATTTCGTAAAGCAACAACCATGAAAGACCGCATTTTCTTGAAATTTGCGCATGTTTATGAAATGAAGCAACGGCAAGTGTGCGTTCAAGTTTGTATGGTGTTATTTTTTTATTATTCATTTCGTAAACGCAGGCATGCAAAAAAGGGGTAAAAATCTTTGAATAGTGAACTAGTTTAATGAACTTAGTTTGCTCAGGTAAGCAAATGTTTTCAAACTGTCAATTCATCAATTTGAAACAAACACGTCACTGAACACACTTGCTTTATGTTTAAATGTGTGCCGCTGAAGTATTGTTAGAACGATTTTGTTCTTGTTTGTACAAAAGGTCAAAACATCAACACAGCTATGGACTCATATCAGTTTGATATTATTAAAGTTTGATCAGGGTTGGGTATGAAATCAAACCATCAATCATGCTTTTATTCACATTTACAATGGGTTACAACATTGATCAAAGTCCTTGTAATGAACATTTTTCGGGTAATCTAAGCCTTATGATAGCGAAGACCTCCGCCATTATTGATCATGAAAGCTTATCATTTGCGCTCATCAGTTGTGTGGGTCATTTTCGAATGAAGCTCGATCGCGAAGCTTCTTTGAAACTAAGCCAAAACTATAATGGTTAACGCGAACACTCTGTATGACAATTGCTTCACTTAAAGAGGAAACTTTGAGAACAAACTCCTGCTGAAGAGAAGCGTAGTCTGTAGCCGGATTGCCGAGAAGTAAAGATTGCCCTTAGACAATGTTAGGCTAGCTACCTTTTTGACATCAAGTACTTACACAGAGAGGTTGCCCGTCGCTAATTCAAAACCGAGTCTCCTGAAGGCCTTTTTGGTCTTAAAAACGACCTCTTCGAAGATGCCCTCCAAACGCTGTTTTTGCTTAGCCTCTTTCTTTCAATTTTCCGTGTGCTGATTATTAGCTGTAAAGTACAGCTAAGGTTTTCGATCGGACACATTTTAAATTAACGTTAAACGTGAAATGTTCTTAAAGGATCCTTCGAGCACCCAGATTTGTAATTTACACCATGTCATTAACTCTACAAAGGTATCATAATGTTTTCGTCAACATGCAACCCAAAGAATACAGAGTGAAACACGACAAAGCGTTACAGCGAGCATCAGGTTTGCTGTAAGAGAACACTTTTTTCGCTGTTGTTGTCGTTGTTGCTGTTTTTCTTTTTTTCAGTATGCATAGTGGCGGTAAATAAATCATTCAGTTATGCCAGTCACACTTCAGAGATGCCTGATTAAAGAGCATGGCCTTGTTTATTCTCGGTTCTGAATCCTTTAGTGAATCTTGCTTTACGGACAGGACATGTTACAGGGAAAGAGGAAAGTCGTGGAGAAAATCCTGTGCGAAGGAACCTAAAGTGAACAACGTAACCAGTTAGGAGAGATTGTCCTATTAAAAAAAAATTAATCATTTCGCTGAGACATTTATTCAGAAAATTCTATCAAACTTTTCTCGCATGTCTGCCAGTGCCGAAAATGTTGACGAGCAAAATAACAAGAACTGATTGACAATTCAGCTTTTCATTCTGAAATATGCCATCAAAATCATAATTGAATGAAGCAGTTAGAAATATAGCCACAAGATAAACGTGATGACAACTTGTGGTAATATCCGAACGATATTATGTCAAGTGCATTATGCACCTATAAATATATCTTATTAACCAAGCGCGAGGCCCGTACTGGGAGAATATCGGCCCGAGGTCTTGACAGTGTGGACCGAGCGCAGCTCGGTCCGTACAAAAAGACCGAGGGCCGATATTCTCCCAGTACGGTCCCGAGCAAGCTTGGTTAATAAGAGATTTATTATACGACTGAAGTTCAAAGGGACACTAGTGCGGTATCATTCGGGACCATTCGGGACAATGCCCGGTCCAATACTTAGAGANNNNAAAAAAAAAAAAAAAAAAACATTGCGCTTTATATTCAAGAGTGAGTTAAGATAGGTTGATAATTCTCCTTGTCATGATATCACGCGGTCATTATAGGGGTCAAACTTTTCTTCGTGGCAATTTTCATTGGATGATGTTCGCGGGACGACAAAATAAAACAAAGAGTAGATTTGTTAGCATTAATGAGAATGTACTAGGTACCACTAAATAGACAAGTTCCCCAACAAAGGATATAAACAATCTGCATTTCTTGAGTTTTAATTTCATCTTCAGGCAATAATGTTTGCACTGAAATTTCTTCGTTTTCGAAATTAGTTCGTGATATATTTTGTCTTTAGTTAATTCAGCCGCAAAAATCTGTGACAAGAGGCACCACAAGAAAAACTCTCGAGTTACCATCATAGCACTGCACTAAGTAAATATCAAAGGGGACTTAAAACGTTCGATCGACCTACTGATTTGCAATGCAATGAAGTTTTGGTGGACTTAACTGTCATCCGATTTGTAAGCCCGCTTCCTGATATGATCCTCTCAGAGGATGAGGAAAACAACAACTTCTCCCTCGTTTTCGCTGTTGATATCTCTAAATACATTTAAGACGTTATAGATTTAAACACTGGCAAGGACCGAGAGGACGATATTGGACTCAGGATTTGATAAATGGATCTGTAATTAGGTAGTCGTATTAGCAATTTTTCCAGGATTTCAAATGGAAGCTTTTCTCGGTTCCATTGGTTGGTTTCTTTCAGTCGCCACAGCGATAGGAAACGGCTTTGTAGTCATTCTTATCGTAAAAAATCGTCGACTTCACTCCTCTGCCAACTGGTTCGTTCTTTCCCTGGCATTGGCTGATTTTGTGGTTGCAGTGATCGTTTTCCCATCGGGTTATATTTGCAACAAATTAATGGCGTGCCACACAAGGATAGAAATGGCACTGTTTTGGTTCGCTATTCACGCTTCGGTCACAAATCTTTGTGCATTGACTAGGGATCGCTATGTCGCCATCGTTTATCCGTTCAAGTACAATGCATCTATGACCAATAGACGACCCGAAAAAGTTATCATGATAGCATGGCTAACTCCATTTATAATTTCGCTCGCACTTTTTGTCGGAATGTACGTTACAGCTTCAGAGACTGCACTGAAAGCTCTACGATTAACAGGTGTCTCTGCCTTCGACTTAACATCCTGCATCCTGCATCCTGCATCCTGCATCCTGCATCCTGCATCCTGCATCCTGCATGCTCCTCTTGTATGCTGTTGTTCGAGTCTTAACAGTGGCTCGTGCACAATCACACCAGTCAACTGCCATAGAACTTCAGCTTCAGTCTGTAGCAATTCGTCGACACAGGAAACACAATACCGCTCGCTTTATCATTGCTCTCATCTTGTTTTTCCTGGGATGTTACATTGTGGCAAACTGCTTGCTTATGTGCCTCACTTTCTCTTGCAATCTCTCCACGAAATCCTCCAAGAAAGTAGCACAGGTCCTCACTTTACTCTTTGTTCTTAACTCTGCGGTGAATCCACTCGTCTACGCTTTTTTGAAGAAAGACATCAGGAAAGAAATAAGAAAACTCTTCTGCAAAGAAAACTAGTTCAAGATGATGAGAACTGCTAAGGATTACATTGGGGAGTTTCTCTTTGTCGTCAGCTCACTGAATACGCGGGTAATTAGTTATTTAAGTCACACTTCGCCCACGAACCTTCACTTGAAAGTGATCGATCGTCCAGGATTTTTTTTCGCCCGCGGCATAAAATCGACAGTGAAACACCAGAGATGAATGACACCTAGTACCGGTGGCCATAGAAAAGCGTGTTTTTCTCTGACCTAGTAATCGATTATTTACATCGCGCTTTTTTTCCCATGATTTTCATTTCGTAATATCAGTCATGCTGTAAATTCGATATACTGAGAAGTGTTTTGTTAGATACGTATTCTTCGCGAGATTTGGGCTTCCAGTTGTCGTAAGAAAACGGTCTTTAAAGGATCCCTTCCAACCAAAATACATTGCGCGCGCGATATGTGAAATCCGCCATTTTCTCTGCCATCCGGTATTGGACAAGTCGTGAAGTGGAAAGAAATCCTCGTTCATCCGAGTACATTTGCCTCACTGAGGTCTTGAATTTCCTCAATCGCGTTCAAAATTTATTGTTCTTTCTATTTGACTAGGCATCAAAACAATAATAGATGCGCGCAGGGTATTGTGGTTGGAAGGGATCCTTTAAGGAAACTCTGAAATTGAAACGTTAATGAGCCAAAAGCATTTTTCCTAATGTTTTTTTCCTCGCCTGCAAAATGGTCCTTACCTGTTTAAACGTGAGGCAACGAAAGGAAAAAAAAATATAAGGGTAGGTTTCTTTATTAAAATTAATTAAGATTTTTCGTTGAGGAAAAAAACGATGTATCAAGAAAATTTATTATCTCCGAAAACCAGCTCACGATATGCCGGCGAAAATAGTTGGCCACCGAAAACCGAAAACACCTTCCAAGGATACAATTTTTCTTTGATTTCATTCTTGACGACTACTTCAGAAAAATTGAAAAAAAATCATCCCCTAGAACAGCACAGATATCTCTCGTATTCATTTCTGCATTTCTCGGCATACCCGGCGTACTTGCTCTTGACAAGTTCTTGGCTACCTGTCATGTTCTGCCACATCTCAATGATAAAGGAGACCGGTTGAGATGAAGAAACTGACGATTGTTGATCTTCCTTTGGACCCCTGGAAACCATGAGTGCCTCCGTTCAGATGCAGGTGACGAACTAGATTTGAATTTTAGTAAAGAAACACACCCTTAATTGTCTCATTCCTAGAAAGTTATACATTCGACATCAGAATAAAATGCAGCTAACATGTTATCGGTGTAAACTAGATCCGCGAAGACGAGATCCTGATTCAAAATATTCGCCTCTGAAAATGAAAATGTTCAAGATTTCAGATTAAAATATGAGCATTAACGCCCGAAATGTTTGTTTCTTTTTCCATCCAATATTGCGACGAAAATAATTTTGAACATGATTGACTGCCTCTAAATTCAATTAGCGCTGGATAGATAATAGCATGGAAAGTTTTTAATGATTCCTGTTCCGACCTGATCGCTACTGATTAGACGGTTGACACTTCAAGGCTCCTCAGTATACCTTTCACAAAAGTAATTGTTAACGTAGATTAATATTTGTCAGCTTCCATTTTTTCTTTCCATTTTTAATTATCTTTTAGATAAAACCTGGTCCGATTAAACACGAAAGATAAAAAAGAAAAAATCGAGACTTCCGCCTCAAAGATTGGTCCTAATTCATATCTCACATAGGAAGATTAAGAGCCTCCTTATCAGCGAGTGCTCTCCATGTAGTTCTCGTTCAAACCAATCTTTAAGAGCGAACAGTAGTGAAATTTGTAATTCAGTCTCAATGATAGATTAGTAGTTCATGAAATCCTAAGAAGAGAGAGGCGTTGGACGCAATCGCACAACCGAAAAAACCTTCGTCTGAACTAATATGAATCTTTTCAATGTAATTTTTAATAAATTTTCAAAAGATGTTATTTTGAACCATTAATTTCCGGCTCGAAAAAAAATATCATGGAAACTGTGTATAGATACCTTTCGGGTATCTTCTGTTCCCGATCGTGACTTGGATGAAAATCTCATCTAATGCACACACTCGCTCACACAATGTGTATTCATGCAAAAGCCTCCATAGGAAAAAATTTTTCTCAAGTCCGGACTTTCAAAATTAACTTTAAGGTCATTACCACTCTAAAAGCTCGAAATGTAAACGGATATGACACTTCCGTGTGTAAATGTAGCTCGCACATGTCACCACAAAAAAGACGAGTTCGTTGAGGGGCGTTTCGTTAGCCCCTTGTTTTAAGTAGCTCAAGGAAGGGAGGAAACATTTGTTTCGCGACTTAGAAAAAGCCAAGCAGTCAGTTCTCGAAGAAACTTCAAGATAAAGGTAAATCATGTTGGGCATGCATGTTAACTTTACGAGCGTGGCTGTACAATAATTTAAACAGTGTATCCCTATTTTTTACAACAATGTTCATCGCTACCACTTGGGCGCGAGAATTACCATAAACTGCATACCTCCATGTATACAAGGACCTACCTATCTTGGTCAATTCCTAGAAATTCAAATGCATGCTGAATTTATATTATTCATCACTTAACTTTGTTTTGTAAATATTACAATACTGGCAGGGAAGTATTAAGATCTCCCTTTTTTTTTGGACAACAGATGCACTTTACTTCTACTTTGATAAACATTTCACTGCAAGTTCAATAAAGCATGTTCCGATTTAGCGGAAACGTCAGGCTTTTGGGTGGGTAAAAGCTAACTGACAGCGCCACTTACACCAAATTGCAGTGATGTTGTCATAGATTAAATGAAAAAGGAATACAGGATCTCAAAGGAGTTATAGATTTCGAAAAAAATAGTAAGTATTGAAAACTGAATTTTTCTTCACACAATCTTAACAACAGCAAATTTCCATCAATACGGAACGCCCTAAAAAGGCGACTATATCATAAATTGCTATTCCATAATCCTAATTTTCATTTTGTTGGCGCCCTTTTTTCGCACAAACGGGAATTCAAATAGATAAACGTAAATTTCCTTGAATCGAAGCTATGCCTTTCTTTTATGTATTTTCTTCGTTTGAGGTCTCTATAACTTATTCTTAAGATATCACTCTTTGAATGCCGTTTTCGCCTTGCACCTATGCTGTGCGAACAGATCAGTAATCTGCGGAAGAATAGCACTGTTCTTGTTATGGCACATAAAAGGCTATTCATGATCTAATATGTATCGTTCTTGACAAATTCCACACTGGATAACGGCTGACAATTCAAATTTCAGCGGGTGAAATAAGTGCAAATTTTACAGTAGTGTTCGTCGAAGATTTATTCCATTTTCCCTGTCATAGGTTTGAAAAAATTTCCTTTGAGGATTGAAAAGCAAAGTTGGAATTAATGGTGACGTGAAATCTAGCAATTTACCCAAAATATAATCGCTAATGTTGTGAGTTGTTTGATTAACTTGACAATGAAAATCATAGGCGCCATATGAATGAAGCCACATGAATGAAGTCGCATTCTCAGTAGGAAAGTTCCCTCGACAGCAGTAGTTCTTTGTTTACGATGATTGTTTCATATCCCGCTCCAGGAATTGCTCTATTTTTTTCCGGTGAGAAAGGTATTGGTGACTTCTAAAAATAAAAAAGAGAAAATGAGAAGTCGCCATACTCGTTTAGGAGAAAATGACACATTACCTGGCCACAAACATGCTTGCCGTAGACAGATAAAAGTAAAGTCATTCCGCACAAAACAAATACGAAATTAGCGAAGTCCACTTCCTCCTACTCCTATTTTGTTCCCAGATCGATAGTGTAAAACAAGTCCTGACAAAATGTAATAATATTATGGTCTCAACAAAACAATAGCCTGATGTAATTGAAAGCCTGAAAATCACCCATTTGACGCCACAGAAATGTTTCTTTTGACAGTAAACTAGTTTACTAGTTTACTAGTTACTACTCTTATAGTTTTAATCTCCTTGACCTTGTAAAGTGAATTTTATCCCTTATCATTTGCTGATCTTTCTGAAGAGAGAGCAGCTGATCACGTGTGGTTTTACCCGCAGTTAGCTAGGTCGCGCAATATAGCTTTACGGAATGACTTCATTCAGTTGTAAGAGATGATCAAGCACCAACACCAACGTGAGAGTCTGAGATCAATTTGGTCTGAGGTTCATGTGATTTATAAGATTTCCTTTGCTTAATTTAACAATCCTTTGAATTTCTTCAACACCAGTATTATCTGGTAAAGTTGTTCTCTTATCCCGTGCATTTATACAATGGTTTGTTAATTTTTATGTCTGGTTCCCCTTGTAAGTTAATTTGATAACATTGGGCGTGGAAGGGCTTGCCGCTGCAGAAGCCCAATACACCCAGGCAAGCCTTAGATATTACCAGAGGTGATTACTGCTTTGAGACGGCTTTCCTCTACTAGATCAAAGTAGGAAGACTTCCACCATTAATTAATTGTTTGCTTAGTCCAACCGAGTGCATGGAAGGAACATAAGATGAAGTTGTCATATCGAGGGAATTCAAATCTGTGATTCACTGCAGTTTTCAGACCTGCAGAAGTTTCAGTTATACACCCGCACTTCAAAAAAGGCCTGCGAGTAGGTAAGGAACGTGGAAGGGCAAGGAATCCGTTTAATCGTACACACATTTCAAAGACGGTCTTCCTAGAAGTCAACTTTGCTGTAACATGAATTTAACGCGAAACCTTTCGGAAAGCATGTACTCATGATCGCTACAACTTGTAGTAAACTATATACTTTATCAGAATAGGTTCGATTGACTTTAGCTTAACGCTACTGGATAATATGTAGGTTCCTATAACTGCCTTGAAAGAGCTCGAAAATACCTTGGACGCCTTTGCTGGTCACTTCTGCGTCAATCAAATTATCTCGTTTTGTTCGAATTTTATTGATTTATTTTCATTTCAGTTCATTTCAGCTTACTGACTGTATCTTTACCGTGACCAGCAATGTTTTCAAAACTACACTCGGTGCGCATGCGATGAGTCGTTTAGCTATGACTCAAAAATCAGGCTCGAGTTGTCAGAATGTTGTTGGTATCTTGTGGCTTTGCCGACCCGATGCAAAAGTGGGAGATTTTTTGAGTAAAGGCACACATTACTGAAAACTGTACCTACTCTACGCGCTTTTCATCCATACGCTCCACACAGGTGGTGTGCGGCCAACGATCGCGGTGCCATCCATACACTCCACAAAGATGGTGTGCGGCCAACGATCACGGTGCATTATTCTCACACATTTCGAACATGGCGGTCCTACGGCCATGCGGCGATTAGAAGAGGAAAGTTCACGTCCATTTGCTAGATACTTATCTTCAAAGTCTTGTGTAGCCAAAAAGAAAAGTCTACAGCAGCCGTTTTTCCTTTAAAGCGGCCAATGGAAGTTTCTCTTTTCACCTCTTTTAAATACACCAACAAGGTAGCGATGCTTATGCAACATACTTGCCAGAATTCATGCCAACTTCACTCGCGCAGAGGTCAAATGGAAATGAGCACAAAACGACATTTTTCCCAGCACACAACGTGGTCGTAGTCCACACACTCCTTTGCACTCCACAATCTCGCGTCGATTGACTTTCAAGGGTCTATTCAAGTGTCAAATGATTAAAAAAAAAGGAAAGTTGTCGAAGTTCGTTATCTTTCGAATGAAAGATTGATAAGTGGCGCTTTATCAATCACGTATTTTTGGTTTTTGAACATTTAAATAATTCACAATCTTCCTTTACCTATTTTAAGCATCAAAGCGGATAAAGATAAGATGTAGTTGGTCATGCGAATCAAACGTGAACGACGGTGTATCCTATAAACGACGACTTGTACTTTAGAAGCGGCCTTCCAGGCGTTCTGAGGTAAATTCAAAGCGGCTTTTCAAACGGAATGAAGGCATCTGTTCATATACTAGGGAGAGTAAATGAAAATGTCAAGAACTTGAAAGGAGTTACAATGGCTTAAAAAACAGTTCTCAGTGAAGTTGATTATTTTGATTCCGGTTTTACGAAATGATTTTTTCTTTCACCAGCGGCTGCTTAGTACATTTTCTGCCTTTAAAAGCACACACAACCGCCACAATTCCTCTATTCGCTCCGACGAAGGGTTAACGCTCAAAACGTCAGCTTTTATAATCGTAACGGTGGCCAATTTACCATTTCAACTTTGTTGATATACTCAAATTGCTTAGCACATTGACGAATTTTATCAAAAAGCATTGATCGATGTATTTTCAACACCGAATTTTGTTTTCGCTCTTCTCGTGATGTTGCATAGACCCCGTCTGAGATAAATTCAACCGTCACACGACAATCACGTCATTGGCTGGCTGGCATGATGAAATAGCATTTATGGGCCTGATAAGTACCTTAGGAAGTGTAACTTTATCACAGTATGACAATTGCCAAGGATTAGAAGTAAAGATAATTCAGTGCTTTTTACCGACTCTACATGCGTGAGAAAAACAAGTCAATTTAGTACTGAGAGAGTACCCAGAGATAATGAAAAGTTCGAGAAGATGATAACTTACCACTCGTGTTAATTTGACAATGTAAATTCGTGTATATTTTCGGTTGCCATGTAGCGAAGTCTCTCGGAAGACAAACACCGTATCGCGTGACTCTTAACTAGTACTCGGTGACCATCATGTGAAATTGTTGACCCCGTAATTTCCAAACCCCACTTGAAACGACAAAATATCCACCTTACTAACAAGTTTGATTCAGAGAGAACACTAAATTATTTATTGGCTTATGTCTTCTTAAGACAACCTTTTTCATTCTCATTATCGAGTGACTGAAAAAGAAATCAGGAGGTAGATTTATCAAAGAAGGAGATAATAAGGCAACAAATTACCGGTTTTCTAGACGATTCATTGGAAAACGTTTCTTACGTGGGAGCTTTTTTTCTGATAACAGCTTCCATAAACCAGAAGCTGGTGATTGCAATTGGTTGATACATCAAACTCATTATCATATCAATTCAGGCTCTGAGGAACGGCTGCAAAAAATCTATTTGCGAAACTGTCCCAATGGCTCATTGGCTCAATATCCTTGGCTGGTTACTTTCTGTCGTTACCATTGTGGGAAATGGATTTGTAGTCGGTCTTCTCATCAAAAATCGTCAACTTCATTCCTCAGCAAATTGGTTTGTCCTCTCCTTAGCAGTGGCCGACTTTATGATCGGATTCGCCGTCTTTCCGTTACAATATCTTTGTATCGAGAGAATAAAGTGCGACCTTATTGTTAACATGGCATTTTTTTGGTTCTTCCTGCACTCGTCAGTTTCCAATCTCTGTACGTTGACTTGGGATCGCTATATCGCCATAGTTCACCCTTACAGGTATACTAACTTCGTAACTACAACACGTCCAGGACTGGTCATCACAGCAGCATGGTTGATTCCCTTCGCAATTTCACTGTTACTTTCGGTGGGGATGTACGCTACAGACTCCAGAATTGCATGGAAAGTTCTTCGCCTGATTGGCGTCTCTGCCTTTGACATAATTTCCTGCATGCTGCTTCTTTATGCTGTGGTTCGTATCCTGTTTGTGGCGCGCCAAGCCCGAATAGCTGACGCGATTCAACTACAAGTCCAGTCTAACCAGTGCAGGGATGTTAAAGGAACAGCGGGTAGACGCAAACGACCCAACGCAGCTCGCTTTGTAGTGGCTATAGTCGTGTTCTTCCTAGGGTGTTATGCACTTGTAAACTACTTCATTTTATGCATCATATTTTCTTACAAGATTCCGGGGAGAGCTGGTCAGATTCTTAACGTTCTTCTCGTTTTAAATTCCGCTGTTAACCCTGTTGTTTATGCGTTTTTTAAAAAAGACATTAAAACGCACATGAAAAAGCTTTTTTGCAACTGGAATAAGAAACGAGAGGAGCATCGTAAGGAAGAGGTTCCCTCGCGGTAACATTCTCCGCATAAGTCATTTTCAAGTGTCCAATTAACATTTTTTTTTGTTAGACGAGCGGTGTGTTATCTATCAGCGATATGCTTTTCCTAAAAACTTGGGTGAAATCACTTAAGTTAAGTATGATGCAATAATTAACAATTATTGGCCGAAGGCGAGGTGAATATATACATCTTATTAGACGTTTTGATGTGTAGTATCGCTGAGTATTTTTACGAGTTGTGCCGTATTTTGACGAACCCGTAGGGCGAGTCAAACTACAAATAACGAGTAAAAATACTCAG